GAAGAAGAAAATATTATATCCGTATTATTCATTGATTTCATAAGCAGTTGCTCATCTGGTAAATTTAATGATAATTCATAAATTGGTTTGCTTTGTTCAATATTTATAACATTAAAAAGTTGTTGTAACATGGAATGAAATCGTTGAGCCATCTTATCAATAGTTATTCTATCGAACAAGTCGATTGATGCATTGATGGTACATGATAATTGATCCATATCTAAATCATGTTCTACAGTGAGAATGAAATCAAATTTGCTCATTATTTCATCTACATCAATCTTAAGCGAGATAGGTGCAGCGAAAAGTCGTGCATCACCAATCATTAACTCAGTTTTACTACTTTTAGAATAATACGATTGAAATTCAAATGATGTCTCAAGAAATATAGGTTTTGTAGCTTGTGGATGTTGAGTAAGAATTCGTTGAAGAGGAAAATAAGAATACTGTAAACTATTTCTAATGACTTCTTTCACATGATCAATCAGTTGATGAAAAGACCAATGAGGATCGAGTTGACATCTCAAAGGAATAGCATTGACGAACATGCCAATCACTGACATTAACTCTTCTTTATATCTTCCATCAGTATTCATTCCAATGCATAAATCATTTTCTCCATTAGTCACTTTGAACAAGAAAGCATAATAGCTCATAAGTGCCAGTTGTTCAATTGTTACATCATGTGATGATGCATATGTAGAAAAAGCACGAGAAAGCTCTTCACCCAAATTGAAAGAGACAGATGTTCCGCGACCGGTTCGATGTTCTTCAGAAAGACGAAATCGGTCAAAGGGTAGTGGTAGAGATCGATCCAGATTACAATCATGAAGATTATCAAGCCAGAACATATTTGCGGCAGTCATTGACATGTACTTTTCGACGGTAGCATCTGAATAGGAGGGAGAGAGAGTGTGTGTACATGATCATAATCAAAAAGAAAAAATATTTCAACTCACAATCAATATAACGCAAAAGAATGTTTTCGTCAGTTATCAGCTGACCAGTGCTGTAAGCTTCATTGAGATCATGAAGAAATATATCCATTGATGGAAAGTCGAATATAGCATGATGAAAGTTAAAAATAATTGCATCTTTCTCGTGAAGAAGATCATGTGATGAGATTTGTATGTGGTGAAGAATATGACAATGAAATACACGACCTTGAACAAGATCGAACAGTTGAGAATTTCTCTTCTCATCATGCATAATGAAATTGAGCTCTTGATCAGTTTCGAAAGTGCTTTGAATAAATTGAAACATATTATTATTATACTGATGGAAGTCGATCACTCGTTGCATGAGTTGATTTGTTTTTGTATCGAAGACAAGTTGTGTTCGAAGTGATTGATGTTTCATGATAACTAGCTGAAGAGCATGTTTAAGTTGACGAATCGATAAAATATGTTTCGGACAAAGGCGATAAAGAAAAGGTATATTATAAATTGCGACGGCAGCTCGGTCTTCATTGAATCGAATTCGTTCATCAAGCCAAATGCGAGCTTGAGCATCAGAAGCTATTGCTAATAGAAAGAAAATAGTAGTATTTATAGTGAACTGGTTTCGATTGAATCGATAATATTGAGAGTATATTTTGGATATCGAAGTATATGTTTCAAACAAAAATTACACATTAATTAGGTTACAAGTGGTTCATGACAGGGTGCTTAGATTTTTTTGCTCAGATCACAATGATTGCTGTTTTTTTCTGTTTCATGTGAAGAGCTTTATGTATCAAATAATGAGTACAAGACGTCCATCAATCTTTTTTTTTTTGTTGAAATAATTTTTCATTGCAGTAAGAGTAGTGTCACATATCCAAGATTTTGGAGATGCCACCGCATCTCCGGCGGGAGACGCGGCACCCACACTCGGTAGATGAGGTCATTCACCACTGGAGATGTAAGATCTCCTTTAGAGAGACGCATCCCCCACACCCGCACTCGCATCTCTCGCGCGAGATGCTGCATCTCCCGCAGGAGATGTGGTGGCATCTCTAAAATCTTGGATATGTGACAATGCTGCAACTTTTTAATATAACCATTATGTTTTTGAGGAACCGAGTTTCGAAAATCTTAGTGAACTTTATGGACAATATTTAAGCTTCTCTAGACACGAGTTTTTCTGAAGTGTAATCATACCGTATACATAAAAAACAAGTACTATATTTGAAAAATATCCATACGTAAGATATTCAAAAATTAAATACATGGATGCATCACATAATAATTTACAATGTTGAAAAGTGAAGAATAACATATGAAGCATCTTTATAATATATCCCTTTGCAGTTGGTATTCGTAAGTCTCAATGAATTGTACATTTGAAGTGACGTTTTCTCTTTTTTCTACCATAACTAACACTAGCAAAGATTGACTTCATCGATTAAAAAGATGAACTTGGTGAACATTGCGAAGCCCATTCTCCATTTAACACAAATGGAATTTTGCTTTGAAGACTCAACAACAAATGCTGATGAAATTTTCGCTTCACAACAATTATTTGAAACTTTGAAGACATTTAAAGATAGTTACTTTAATGAGCTATATACTTACCAAAATCTCGATTTTCATGATGAATATAATGAAATGGTGGACATAGGAGACAGCAAAGATAAGAAAGTATCAACTGATGAAGAAGAGAAATTGATGATTATGATGTAAATCAATATTTGAACATTCAAAATAATTTTATATCTTAAGAGATGGAAGATATAGTGGAATGGGTTTGTTAACATCCAAACTGCCAATTTGCAACTATTAAGCATAGGTTCCGAAAACTGAAATACATGTATTATATCACAAAGTTTAGAAAATATATTAAAACGAACGGCATAGGATTAGGAGAACTAAAAGAAAATCAATGAATTTATATGAAATGAATTTTCTGTAAACAAGCAATTGAAAAAGAAGAAATTTATGATAGTAATGTAGAACTTTTAGTAGTTCAAAAAAGGAAATGAATTAGATTGGGATAATTTCAAAGGAACTAATTCAGTTATAAAACTGTTCGAAAAAGAACATCGAATTTAGTCGAGAAGACACAACAAACTAATTACTCGAGTTTATTCATCCAGAAATATTTGTAGTTTGAAAGTTATGTAACATTTTGACGTGGGATTTCAATCTATTTGTCTTAACATGACATACATGTACATTATAGATGCTCACGACTGGATCGAAAATCAAAGGTCTTTAATTTTGAATTATTCTTCTCACGAAATTTTAAGCAATAGTCGTTGTTCATTTCAGCAGGAATATATCTCTTGAAGTACTCTTTCTTTCACAGGATGAAAGAACAACAGAAGTTGTTGGTGAAAAGAGGAACAATATAGGACACTTTTATACCGTGCAACCTATTATATCAGCTAATGGTGAATTATTAGACCAATTCTTCCTCATTCCCCAAGAAAAGAAAGATGAATTCGGTAAAATAGTAGAGAAAGATTTAATTGTATCAGAAAATGTCGTAGTACAGGCTTCACCATTTGGAAAACACAGTGATGAAAAATAGCACACTTTTTAAAGTGAAGTTCTGCGTTCTTTAGTTGACAGAAAAGTTTTTCTTTTCCTTGATTGCTTGACAACTCAAATTCTATCCGAAAAAATTTAGAGCACTATTTTCCACATCGAGACAGTCAATTATTGATTTTTCCTAAACGATCAACTGGTTATATTTAGCCACAATATCTGTTTTTGTTCTGTTCATGACGATTTATTCATGAGAAAATCGAGCATTATGTTCATATCAATGGAACAGAAATGAACATGAACAATCGTCAATATTTCATAAATATGCATTCTATCATTCACAATCAGTTATCTGTTCCACAATTTAAAAATCTCGTCAAGTCTGGATTCGTACAAGCTAAGATAGTCAACAGAGATATTGGTGAAATCAACAAACCAAAGGGCGCTTCTTTTAAACACGGTGACGTTCATTGTTAAGTTATTAATTATGAGAAACGAAACCCGTCTCATTTTTACTTGATGCCAAAGACACCTTTGCTATTATCACTTGATCGGAGACCTTTATCTCCATCCATAATGCATGTTTTAAAATAGTATTTTGTATAATTTATTAATTTCTCAGGAAATCAGACAAAAGTATTGATGAATTGTGAATTCTTATATATAATAATCGATATCTTCCCTATTCAATATTGTTAAACTTCAGATAAAGTCGCATCTAGAGAAACCTAAATATTATCAATAAAGTTCACTAAGATTTTCGAAACTCAGGTTCTCAAAAACATAATGATTATATTAAAAAGTTGATATGAATAGTTCATATATTGTCATGCCTCTATACTCAAATAATGCATAACTTAAAAATTCAATATCTTTGTTCAGGTATGCGAGAAGCAGCTCATGTCTTCCATTCATTAGCTTCTCGGTGAAAGTGATCATTTGACCTGAATATAATCAACCTTTTTACTCATCAATACAAATCCTTCCATTGTTAGTATTTTTCGCGTCTCAACCGGATCTATACTATGAACGAAATCGTAAACTGAAAATAATAGAACAGTAACAAACGTGCTCTCGTGAGTGTGTTTCGAAACTGTAGGAGAAGTACACTTTACTGTAACAGGAATTCTTGAACCTCACATAAATAGAAGAAGTGTTCATAGGTGGTGGCGGGATCTTCACTGGTTAGACTCATAGAAAAGTCTTTTTAGAAGTTCAAACAAATGATTCAGATGAATCTACACAGAATAAAAAGTGCACAAAATTTACGAAAAATAAAATGTGTCACAGCGTTATGTTTCGTTTTTGTTTCTCTTACACGATTAACAATAGCTACAAGAAAACTTTTTTTACCTTTGAAAATCCCTTTTGTTACTCTAAAACATTGGCTCTAGGTGCATTTCATTTAGAAGCTGTCTTTCGCAGGAAATCAGAACTGAAGTAGGAGTAGTTCGAATTCAGTGTCTTTTCATGTCACACAATTACACCAGTAAAGACCTTTTCTGGAAGCTCGACATTTTAAGGAAAAAATATAATTTTTGCGACACAATTAGAGCATGATAAGCTGCATCGAATGGTGTTTGAATGAACTTCCGAGCTCTCACAACGTCCGAGATAATTGAAAAAAAGTCTGTCAAAAACGTCACAGCGTTACATTTGGACGAGCCGAAATACTCTCTTCTGTCCTTGTTTCGTATTTTATGAGCAAACTATTATCCACTTCAAAATGGAAGAGTAGTGGATAGTTTTTGAATAACTTCTGATAGAAATTAGACAGAGACCTGCGGTTTTCACCGTTGAAAAGTGGAGATGAAGGCGCATCGAATCATATACTACAGATTTTATTTTCGAGCTTTTTGACAGTTTCTATCGAATTTTTTCAAAAAATGTGTTCGTTTCGGCTCGATTGGTACAGTAAATTTTCATGACAATGTAGCAAAAAACCGAAATCTTTGCCTAATTTTCACGGAAAATCAGGTAGATGCACACAATAAAATGTCTTTAACTCCGAAACGTTACAAGTTAAAAATGTGGGCCTAGCGCAGTTTTGTAGATCTTCCATTGGCAGTTGTGATACACTCCTAAAAATCGAAAATTCTCAGTGGTGATTGAGCGCAGTACATTGGTTTGCCAAAATTTCAATTAAAAACACTCAATAAAGCTTGTTCGAAAAGTCTGTAATACATAATTTGACGCGCCTTGATCTCCTCTTTCCAACGATGAACACCGCAGGTCTCTATCACATTCGTAGAGAAAGTTATTCAAAAAAGACTCACTCCTCTTCTATTTTGAAACGTACAATAGACCTATTTTCGAAAAAAGAATAATTTGAAAAATACTAATTGCTTCGCACATTTCGAACTAGACACAAGTTCTCACGTCACCGCCATATATACACTGCATTGAAGTTACTTTAATTTAACTAAATAGCATACGCATATTCATTAATTAATTAAATTATATCAGGGACGTTTTAGACACTTATAGTTATCTTCTCATTTAAAAAAGAATTCTATTATCTTTCAATTGAGTAGAAGCATAGAAGACATTACTCAGAAAAATGAGACATATTTCTTTTTTATTGATAGTGTATGTAATTATGGATCTATTCAAAGTGCCCTGATGCCTACAATGAATAAGAGAGATCTCTTGAATAGTAGGCTTTGATTTAAACCGTTCATCACTATGTAATAAAAAGGTTTCGCAGTAATGGTTATTTCAAAATGTTTGCCATTTCGTGTTGCTGGAGTCGGTTTCGATTTCAGCATGCTATGCAACACTTAAACTTAAGATATATGAAGCATCTAGTTACGAATAAAAAGGACAGGCACACTGTGCTAAGAAAAATAGCTTAGTATGCAGAAAACTCCGTTCAAAGTATTTTTTTTCTAGTACCGTGACAATATTTTATAAACGGCGAAAGATAAATCCACATGTTTGAATCCTGAACAATGAATCAAAAAAAATCTAATAACGTCAGGTAAATCGTGTTTCAAGTTCAGAAATTGATCTTTTTTCTTTACGGGCTACTTTTTTAAAGATGTTTATTTGATTTGTTTTCCTATGAAGTCAGCTTTATTGTAGACTTTATATTGGGCTGATAAGTAGATAATACTGACATATGGTTCTTCTTCTGAATATTTAACTTTTCATCACACATAGTAGTTCTCTTATTGATATAAAGTTGAAATAGTCTTTAAATCAGATGTTAGTGTCTTCGAGATAGATTTGTTCTCATAACAAATTATGAACAACATAGCATCTCAAGTTTCTGAATAATACTACTTATGCTTGTTTGTAAAAATGATACAAATATTTTCAACAAGAAAATTAACTATAAGTATCAACGGTATTAGTAGTATTCGGAATTAATGGATATTTATTCCAGTTTCGACTGAATTCCAATAGTTTCGATAATGTGCTTGTCAAAATTGTAGAGTTAGTCGGCCGTCGTGAGTTTGCTACTAACTGTATACAAGAGAAATATTCTCTTCCTCCAATAAGCTTTTTTTTTCTTTTATCCTAAACAAGCAGCTTCTTTGACTGAACATAAACATAGAAGAATGTGGATGTAACGAAACAATGTATTACTATTGCATCTAAATGCCTCGTCTCAAAGTCTCGAAACATTTTCAACAACTATGACAGTTAAACTATGTGTGACGAAACAGGAATAGGATATAAATCTGAGCATCTTCACTATCTGAACCAAGGAAGAAGATTTTTTGAAATCCTTCATAATGAAATATTCATTGTTACTACTCTTGACGATAATAACATCGAGAAACACAGCGTTCAAAAATATCAAGATTGATATCGAGCATGACCGCCAGGCTATTAGTAAAATTTCACCATAGAAAATTTACGCACAGGAGAACTGAGAATGTTAAGTTATTTAATATTCATCTAAATTGAATGCTATAGGAAATGCTGGTAATTACTTCAAGCAAAATAATTCTTCCATATGATTGACAACTCATGGGAATTAACACTTTCAAACATAAGCGCCAACTTATTGCGCATGAAACATCTTACAACTAGTAAGAACTTACAGTTGATTTCTTCATGACAACAGATCAAGATCTAAACTCTATTCATTAACAACGCCTTTTCTAGGGAATAAAATGAATATTCTTCTATGAGTAACGAGTATAGATTAAAAAAACATGTAAGAATTATAAGTATACCTTCGTCGAAAATATTAGCCAATCTATAAAAAACAATTCCTTGCATTTCTTCAGCTTCATCAGATAAAATAAGCGAAAGTTTTTTGATAGGTGTAGAAGCTTGATCAATCTCAGAAACATCAGACTTCGAACAAAATAGTTGAAACACAAGATGTTGAAATCGTCGTGCCATGGTTTCAACCGTTGATTCATCGAACAAATCATGCGAGCATGTAAAACAACATGAAAGGCTACCATCATTCAATGTCGGCTTGTGAAAGAATCTCAGCATGTAATCAAATTTAGCCACCTTAGATGATTGTTCTAATGAAACTTGTTCTAATGTCGCACCATTGAAGCATAAATGACCCCCATCAGAAGGAATAGTGATAAAATCAAATACTATCTCAAGAAAAGAAGCATTCAATTGATTGAGATAAAAATCAGCAAGAATATATTGTAGAGGATAATGAGAATGTTCCAGAATCGACAAACATTTATCTCTTACATGTTTTACCAATTCATCGAAAGACCAACAAGAATTAAGTTTGATAGCATAAGGTAATGTTGCAACAAACATTCCAATCATATTTTCTAATTCACTTTTATATCGATTTGCGTTAAGACCACTAACACAAATATCAGAGTCACCATGGGTTAATCTGAAGAGAAATGTATAAAATGTGGCCAATCCAAGTTGAAAAGGTGTCACTTGATGGGCAGATGCATAATTTAGAAATGCTCTAGAAATCTCATCATCGAAATGAATTTCAGCGACTGATGCAACACCAGATCGTTGATCATTCGATGAACGCTGTCGATCAGTTGGCAATGACAGTCGATGTTCGAGATTGTATCCTTGGAGTTGTGACTTCCAAAACTCGTGTGATACCATCATATCCATTTCATGTTCATAAACTGAATAATCAATGTATTGTAACGAGTCGTCATCGACTGATATTATTCCATTATTGTTATATGCATGGCGTAGTTCATTGAAAAAGATGCCACTAGAGAATCGATCGAAAACTGAATGATGAAAAGCAACGATGAGAATATCAGAGCATGGGATGATTTCATCATCCTCGTTTTGTCTCATAGAGCTGTCTTGTCGAAGTATTTGACAATGAAAACTTCGACCACTCGACAAATCGAATAGATTAGGATCGATAATTATTTGATCAATGATATCATACAGTTCATTGTTATTTTTGAATGTCAGGTCGGCTGCCAAGCTGAAGGTTTGATGCCTATCAGTAATACATTGTTTTAGAGTACCACCTTTGTTATCAATCACAAGAGATGTGCGGAGTATGGTTTGTTTGGTCAAAACAGATCGAAGGGCAGTTAATAATCGATTTCTTGATAAACACCCTTGTACAACTTTTAAGGCGTCCAATTCATTGTAGATAGCTACATTTTTCGTGAAGCGAACTTGTTCATCAAGTAAAATGCGTTCTTGAGCAAACGATGTAGCGCCTGAAAGTTTCATAGTATGATATTTAATAAGGCGGAGAAGACAAGGAGATAAATATTTTACCTTGAATGATATGTAATGTACGCCATTGTGTTAAGTTAATGTCGTTCTTAGTGAGTTTTTCAAGTAATTTGACATGTTGAAGCAGAGTTGACTGATAAACAAAAGAACCAATAGACAGTATACGAGAATCAAAGCTAAACAAGGTTTGATAGCAATGATACAGCTTGATCATCAAAAGAGAATGACCGCCAAGACTGAAAAAACTTTTCGTTCCTAAAATGTCTCGTCCAATACATTGAAGCACTTCACACCAAATATTGCGAACGATGTCTTCTAGCTGACCATGGAAAGTAGAGGACTCATTTGTTGATAACAAAGCTTCTGAAAACATATTAGGTGAGGGAAGAAGTTTTCGATCTATTTTCCCGTTGGCATTCAACGGTAGTTTTTCCATGAGGACGAACTTTGATGGAACCATATGAGGTGGAAGATGTGATTGGCAATATTCATGTAATTGTTCTTCGTCAATATCAGAACTTTGCACATAGGCGATCAAATGATCATCATCCCACTTGATGACAACACAGGCTGAAATGGATGTATCAAGTAAACATCTTTCTATTTCTCCGAGTTCGATACGTTGTCCATGTAACTTAATTTGATGATCTTTTCTTCCTCGATAATGAAGAAGACCTTTGCTATCTAATCGAACAAGATCACCAGTTCGATAAAATCTTTCACCATCTATCATACACAGTCCTCTTGCAGTCAAATCATCACGTCTGAGATACCCAGAAAACACACCTGCGCCTCCAACATATAATTCACCATCTTGAATATTGCTAACTTCTTGTCGGAACTCATCAAAAACCGCATATTGATAGTTAGGAATTGCTTTACCTATAGGAATATCATCGAAGTTTGCAGTTTTATCAGCTAGATATAGTGTACAACCAATAGTTGCTTCTGCTGGTCCATACAAGTCCCATATGCGACATTTATCCGGAACAATATTTACCAGTAAATTGAATAATTTTACAGAACAGGGCTCCCCTAGAAATGAAGAGGATATACACGTTCACACAAGCCATGCTTGTATTCAACCGTCACTCACCACTACTACAAAGCGTTTTGAGACACAGCATAGCATCGAGATTTTTTGTCTCTTTCAAGAAAAGAGAAAAGTTATGAAGTAGACTAGGCACAGTATGCATGTAACTAATTTGTTTTTGTTTAAGAACTTCGGAAAGGTAACCAAAATCGATGTTTCCTCTTGGACGAAGCATAATTAACGTAGCCCCAACCATCAATGCGCCCATTATATCTTCAACATGAATGTCAAATGAGCAACGTGCCATTTGAATAATCGTATCTTCTTTATTAAATGTGTCAATGTAGGTCAAAGAGTGAATGCACTCGATTAAATTCTTATGAAAAATTTGAACCTATTAGAAAACATGAGCGTTAATTGTAGATCATCAAAATTTATCTTCAACTCATTGCTTTCGGTACTCCAGTTGAACCACTTGTGAAGATAATATACGCTATACCATCAGGTGCAATCGCTTTGCTGGATAGTGAAACGAAATCATTATTAGTTTGAACATCAATGTCAATTAATACTGAGTCCATATCAATGGCCTTTATAGTATTGCCAGCTTTTCTTTTTGTTGAATGATGGATAAATATGAGACGACTCTCGGTTTGTTCTAGCAATCCGTGTAGACGATGTTCTGGATCTCGAGGTGATAATGGACAATAGACAGCACCGATCATCTCAATTGCCATTATACCAATTACCTAGTCAATTACAAATCGTTACTTTCGAAAATTATTGTATTCAATCAACTTACCATTGACAAGCTTCGTTCGACACATTGACAAACAATATCACCAACATTTACTCCTTGTTCACTCAAAAGATTCAAAGATAATACTTGAACATAATATAAAAGTTCTGAATATGTAAGACATTGATCATCTAATTCGACTGCAAGTNGATAGTTGCTTTAATGTACTACATACTTATCAAAGTCTCAATTTTCCCGATGACTATGATGAAGTTACGGACAAAGAAGACAGTGCTGATGAAAAAGAATCAATCGATGAAGAAGAACATATTGATGATTATGATGAAAATCAATACCTGGGCATTCAGAATAATTTTACATTAGAAGAGATGGAAAATATAGTGGAATGGGTTGATCAACATCCAACATATAAATTTGCATCTATTAGGCAAAGGTTTCGAAAAGTCAAATACATGCATTATATTACAAGATATAGAGAATATATTAAAACAAATGGCACAAGATTAGAAAAAGTAAAAAAAATCAAAGAATTTATGTGGAATGAATTTTATGTCAAAAGAGCAATTGAAAAAGAAGCAATTCATGATAGTGATCTGGAACTTTTTGCAATTCAAAAAGCAAGAGAACTAGATTGGAATAATTTCAAAGCAAGTGATTCATTTATCAAGCTGTTCAAGAAAGAATATCGAATTTCGTCAAGAAGATACAACAAACTTATTACTCGAGTTTCTTCAACCAGAAATATTTGCAGTTAAAAAGGTACGTCAAACTTTTACTTTTAATTTGAATTTATGTTCCAATGTGATATATGTGATATATATATGGGTGAATCCGTGGGAAACGTACCACCTTTCTGGAAAAGTGCTTTTTTACTTCTTTTTTTAGTTTTCTATGTAGCACCAGATCAGAAAACAATTTTGGCCGAAAAAAATTTGTTACTTTTCCTTAAAATACAAGAGATCCAATGCGTTTTCTAGGTACATCTAAAGGGGATCATCCAAGTTTTTCCAAGATTTAGAGCTCATATTTTGGTTCCTGGTAGCACATGATCAGACTAACACAACCTCCAAAGGACTCCGTTTTTCCATGTACCTCTACTGGGATATCGTATTTTTAACTAGAACGACTTATGCATAATTTTGTCCCAAAACGCTTTTTTCACCAGAAATACGAAGTAGTCGTTCTGGTTAAAAATGCGATATCCCAGTAGAGGTACATGGAAAAATGGAGTCCTTTGGAGGTTGTGCTAGTCTCATAATGTGCTACCAGGAACCAAATTATGAGCTCTAAATCTTAGAAAAACTTGGATGATCCCCTTTAGATGTACCTAGAAAACGCATTGGATCTCTTGTATTTTAAGGAAAAGTAACAAATTTTTTTCGGCCAAAATTGTTTTCTGATCCGGTGCTACATAGAAAACTAAAAAAAAAAAGTAAAAAAACACTTTTTCAAATCGTGGTACATTTCTCATGGATCCATCCATATATATGTGTATTTAGATGCTTACGACTGGATCGAAAATCAAAGATCTTTAATTTTAAATTATTCTCCTCATCAAATTTAAAACAGTGATCATTGTTCATTTCAACAAGAATATATATGTTCAAGAGCTCTTTCTTTTACTGGTGAAAGAACAACCGAAGTTGCTGTTAAAAGGAAGAATAATATAACACATTCTTATACCGTGCAGCCTGTTACATCAGCTGATGGTCAGTTATTGGATAAATTCTTTCTTATTCTCCAAGAAAAAGAAAACGAATTCGGTACAAGAGTACAGAAGGATTTAATCATGCCACCAAATGTTGTCGTACGAGCTTCAAAGTCTGGAAAGAGTAGTGATGAAAAACATCGCACATTTTTAAATGAAGTTCTACGTCCTTTGATTGGGAAAAAATTCCTTCTTTTCCTTGATTGTTGGACAACGCAAGCTGATCTAAAAAAAATTAGAGCAGTATTTCCACATCAAGACAGTCAATTATTGATTTTTCCTAAAGGATCAACTGGTTATATTCAACCACAAGATCTGTCCTTATTTTGTTCATGGCGATTTATTCATAAAAAAATCGAGCATTATGTTCATATCAATCGAACAGAAATGAATTTAAACAATCGTCAGTATTTCATAAATATGCACTCTATCATTCACAATCAATTATCTGCTCCACAATTTAAAAATCTCATCAAATCTGGATTTGTGCAAGCGAAGATACTTAATGGAACAATCGGTGAAATTAACAAACCAAAGCACGTTTGCCTTAAATTCTATGACCTTTATTGTTCTGTTATTAATTGTGAAGAATGAACTCTTCTCGTTTGCGCCTGGTGCAAAAAGCACCTTTGTTATTATCATTTGATTGAAGATCTTCATCTCCACGTGTATTACATCTTTTGAAATATTATTTTGTATAGTTTATAAATTTCACGTAAAATAAAGTCAAGAGTATCGATAAATGCCCGATTTCTATGAATAATAATCAATATATTTCCTACTTGGCACCATTAGACCTCACAAGAAGTTGTCTCTAGAGAGGTCTTGATACTGTTAATAAAACTCACCTTGATTTTGAAAACTAGTTTTCAAAAAATCTGATAATTAAATTGAAGGATTGATGTGACTAGTTCATCTATTATCATGCTTGCATACCCTACTAATGCATAACTTAAAAATTGAATATTTCTGTCCAGGTATGCCATACGCTGCTCATATTTTAAATTTGTTAGTTTCTCGTTGAAAGCTTTCTTTTGACCCGAATATGTATAAGGTTTTCGCTCAACAGGTCACACCCTTCCATTGTGAGAGAAGTCCCAACAGATAAATTTCTCGTATGTCAAGAGGACGCGCATAATGTACATCAAATGAGATATGAGTATCCTGAAAAGAATTAAAGCTTTTAGCGTATTTCTACCTAGATACTGTACTTAAGTGTTATTTTCAAGATGATTCCTGTGTTTGCAATAAGGAACGTGAGAAAAACAATGTTTTTTGCATTTCAACTTGAAACTTTACGCAAAAATCTAAACGAGACATTCTTTTGTGAATGCTTCATATTATGTTGCTGTTGTTTTCCTATGGTACAACCATAGAAATGAAGTGCCTTTAAAATTAGTAGTATACGAAAAGATAACGTACACTACGAAACCTTTGACTTTTCATTGGCCTTTATTATAACATGAAAGATATCGTATGAATCAAGAAAATCTTGATAAGGTTCTGAGAATCTAATCGGTTAATGTTGTATGTTTATTCGTATTACCATCGATATTCCGCAATACTCTTAAGAACTGGTCATATATAGACGGTCGACCAGTGGTTACGCTTACGATTTTCTGCTGGAATTATAAATGATGACAAACACTGTTTTTTTTGTCGGATTTCGAATTTGTTACTAGAAAGATCTCAAATTCATCGAGAGAAAATAGTTTTAAAATGTACTTTATTAATAAAAGTTTTCGAAGCGGAATATTAAAGAATAATAATAATCTCAGAATTGGGACCAATATGAACTCTATTACTAATTAGTTAAGGTGGCTCAGGAGCGTGAGCAATATCATAGAGCATCGAAACCGATTTGATTCTGTCAATTTTAAGAGATTTCAAGAATATTAACCCATTTTGATACAATACATTATGATACATGACTTTCAGAAAACAACGTGTCGGTGGAGTACACATTATACTGATCAATAAATTGTTGGTCCTTACCTGGTTCAAATCACATAGGAATTTTCTGTAAAAGAACTATAAGCCTTCTTAGTCGAAAAGGTTTCATAGTAAACCTTGTGAAGGTATCGCAGTCAAAGTGCTTTGCATTACACTTATCTTTTTCTGCATGTCACCTATGCCGCGAACAAATGTCAACCAATCAGAAAATTGACTTATTTCACTTTGTTCTTCTGCTAGTATATTTACATTTACTCAAAAGTCGACTTTAGAAATTAAATCATTCCATTGAAGACTTCGTATTTTCTTACGTGAGCCTTATTGCTAGGTGAATAGAGAACGCTTCACTTATGCAACGATCATTTTACCTTCTTTGCTGAATCCTGGAGTGCTTTGAAATTTTGCTGACAACAACACAGTATTCAACTTAGACAATATTTTATTGCAAGTTTAATAACGCAAACCTTAAGTAGCCTTATCTAATGTTTGATATCAGTAAACAAGAATAGGAGACAGAAATTACTTGATTCGTTAACATAAACAGTTAGTGGATTATTTGGATGCTAATGGCTTCTTCTCCTTAACTGGTTTTAGATCAAATACATTCCAATTGCATAAAATTCCCAGGATATGCTAGAAGCGTACGGGAAAGATTAAAATAGAATGTTTATATTGATACCATTACGTTTTCGAAAGATATGCATCAAATAAATATTAAAAATAGTTCATCTGGCCTCCCCCATAATCCTTCCTGCGACTTTATCTGATGTGTTCAATTTTTTTTTCAATAATCATTTCAGAATGCATAATGTGTCAGTCTTCTATTAAAACTCCTTTTTTTTGAGCAGGAGAATGATGAAATTTTAACAATCAAATAATTCGCCAAATTAAGGATTGCTCACCATTTCGGGAGATTTTAGTCTATTATATTGCCATCATGTTTCTCTGCAAAAGGTTATGAAGTTACAAATAAAATCTTCGAGAGTAACTGCATTCGAAATTGATCCTTTAGTTAAGAAGAAGTTAAGTACATAGGATAAAGACCCAAAAAGATTTTCTAAGTGCAAAAATGAACCTTTTTTGTCGTGTTCTCATGCATCTCTCTCGAAAGCTTCACAGTGTAAATCTGAAATCTGGCATATTCAATCTACTATAGTTCAAAGATATCCTGGAAATTTCAATTGAGTTGAATGTATATGACTGCGAATCGACTTTTCCGGAGGATGGAAATAAAACTGAGCTAAAATAATCTGTGGTAATGCATAACTTACTTAAAACTACAAGGATAGCAGGTTCACGACAGGTTTATATTAGGCTGTTCGATTTTTCTAGTTCAACAAAGTCTGCTTAGGAAAGTAATTATTTTTGACATGAAACTTGATGAGAAGCTATTTGGGATTTGGGGATCCGGATCCATATGGAGTGTTCTGTAATCCACAAAATGCGCTCTATTCAATGTCATAACATTCAGGTTGCGTGTTGTTAGTAATGTTTTCTGAAAAAATGAAGTATGTTCACAAGATAGAGCTTGTCTGATGAGGAAAAATGATTGGAATAATATTTCTTCGGCAAAAAAAAACATTTGTCAACTTAATGTAAAGTAAATTATGTTTTAATAGAAACCACTTTTACATAATAATAACGCTTAAGTGATTTATTGAATATTAATATTATTTAGAAATACGTTGATACTAGTCGCACGATCTCTATTCATATTATTGATTATTTGATTAGTTAATCCTCACTATAAGTTTAATGTGCATTGGTCACCCGTTTGTTAGGCCTTCTAATATATAGGCAGGAATACTTGTATACGGATAGATGGACAGATACATTTTAATCATTCACTTACAATGTTTGCTCGTGTATACATCGATTCTTACGTTCTATATTCTTTTCTTTTGATATATTCCACGTTATGATTCATATTCATAACGGTGGATATGAATCGCCAAAGATGTTGAATCTATTTTAACAGCAGATGCCGGCACGAAATCAGAAGCTGAACAATGAAGAGACCACAAACAAACGGTCGAGAAGTATCATTTTTCCACCAGGTCAACAACCAACTGAAATTTTTCGTCAACTAAGATTCAGCACTCCCTCTGATGGCTCATCCAATATCAACATCGAAAATATTATTTTCGCCTATCGTTATTAAGTTTGTTGGTGAACAACAAACTTCGATCAAGGAAGTAACAGCGATCTAATATCGAAGTGGAAAATCAACATGCTATTGATTTAACAATACCTGCACGTTTTCGTCATATGCGCTGTCTTCTTATATTTGCCAATGACTCAGCAACATTTGAATCATTATCAGAACCGAATCGATGGCCAAGAGCATTGAAAGAAGCAAATATTGACGTAAAAGTTTCACAACAACTTCCATCNAAATAGGTTGAGTGTAATGAAGACATTCTCATATCCAGATTCCCACAGACTTGATTTTGTCATTGTCATCAAAATTACTTTCTCTTAATTTTTCATCACTATAGAGTTAGCTTCTTAAAAAAGCAAATTTATATTATGATAGCGCTTGAAATTCTCTATCTTTCTATATATATATATTTGTCTACCATGTGGCATTTATCTGTTGCAAAAATAGTACGAAAATTCGCTATTTTTTATGCTTTTTCAAACCATAGATACTATGAAAATAAACTTTTAGAAAAGTAATTATGAATTCTGATAGATATTCAAATTCTCTATCATTCTATGTATTTTTGCCTTGTATTGGATTTATGTGCTCAAAGATTACTCGATTAATATGTAAACACCCTACTTGGCAAGTCCTAAAAGAATAGGATTTTCTTGTATCATTGTCCTTTTTATTTCAATTTTATTATAAATACGGATATAAGTTTTTGCACAAGAAATTATATGTTCAGACTATGCTTTACATTCTCGATCATACTAAACTTTTAAAACAAAAAAAGAAAAGTATAGTTAAAAAATCCAGTTCTTTTACGATTTGTCAAAGAGAATGTTTGCATAATGATCAAACTATTCTTCAACGTATAAATGAAACATGAAGGAAATATATATAGAACGATAGAGAGTTTGAAACTACGAGAAAGTATAATTACTTTTCTAAGACTTTATTTCGGTAGTACCCATCAGTGGACAGTGAAAACTAAAACAGAAGCGAAAAAACGTAAATTTTTCGTACATGTCAATTGAGGGTGTCTTTCTTATACTCAAATTATTTCTGCAGCAGATATATGCAACGTGGTAGACAAATATATATATATATATATAGAAAGATAGAGAATTTCAAGCGCTATCATAATATATATTTACTTTTTTAAGAAGCTAATTCTATAGTGATGAAAAGTTTAAAGAAGTAATTTTGATGAGAATGACAAAATCAAGTCTGTGGGAATCTGGATATGAGAGTGCCTTCATTGGGTGTGGGTGTGGCTTTGGATCAGACACCGAAAACGAACTGAACCGAACCGAAGCGAACCTGCATCAGTAAAACTTGGTTCGATTCGATCTCTGCTTTGGGTTCATCTAATCTTATCGTGGACCCACACCCACACTCAAAAACCTTGTACAAATGCTTGGAGTTAGGAATACAAGGGTGTAGGTATGAGGTGTCGATCTTCTCTTTACTTATCCGTACTCACATAAAATTG